AGCATATGCAGTGTGCTTAGGTCAAAAAACAATTGTACAAGAATTGCTGAAATTTGGTGCTGCTACTACTGATAGTATCAGGATTGAGTTAAATGAGGCCGGAGCATCACTTGAAGTTGAAATGTCAATAGTTCATTTGTGTGTAAGCAAATTAATGCAGGAAAGCCAATTTATCTACTTTAAGGATTCACAGCCTACATTAACAAATTTTTTGGCAAGTAAATTTAAAACTACAACTGATCAATTTGTTAAAGGAGTAAAGGCATTAATTTCAAAAACCACTGTAGATGATACAATTGAAATACTTCGTCTACTACTAGAGGCTACACCACAACCTGAGGATGATCCTGCCAGTTTGATATTAGCATCTACCATTGGTAATGTACAAGCAGTTGATTTGTTACTTAAAGCTGGTTACAATCCTAAGGCACCTTTATCATCAAGCAAATTCTTTCTAGCAATACTTTCAATTATTATGGAACAAGCACCTCTACCAAAAGAAATGTTAAAAATCTCTTGCCCATCATTAGTTGTTGCATGCATTGAAGGGCATTTAGAAGTAGTTAAGTTACTATTGAAAAAGATTAATGACCCAAACCATCAACAAGAAACTGGAGAAACTTTCTTAATGTTAGCATGTGAATGTGGTCACAAGGATATTGTACTAACACTACTAGAGAATGGAGCAGATCCTAATATCACTGACAGTAAAGGTAGGACTGCACTGATGCATGCTAGTTCTAATGGACAGAGTGAAGCAGTTGAACATCTACTAATGACATACAATGCTGATGCATCAGTTACTGATAATCATGGATCTACTGCCCTCTGTTATGCTGCATATGGTGGATACGCTAAAGCAATTAATGTACTTTTTAACAATTATAATTCTAATCAAGACGAAATAGAGAAGGCATTGACTGCAGCTTGTTATGGTGGACATAAGGACACGATTGAGTTTCTAGCAGACAAAATAAACCTCACAAAACATCAAAGTAACTTACTGACTACTTGTATGTCTGATGATGTGGAATTTTTGAACAATCAAACAACAAGTGACTTGTGTACACCATTAATCGAATCCACTGGTCTCACTCCTCTTATGATAGCTGCTTCCTGTGGCAGTGATGGAGTAGTACGAGCATTACTACTGGTATATGGAGCTGATGCTAACCAACAAGATAATTATTTAAAGCATTCTCCTCTGATGTATGCAATATCAGGTAGTAAGTCTATTTCTATTGTTCAACATTTATTAGACAGAGGTGCTAATGTCAATGCTATTAGTAAAGATGAGAAGACACCATTGGACATCGCAAGAGACAAAGGATTAAATGAAATTGCTCAAATATTGGAAAATAATAGTGGGGTAACATATCCTTCAGTCTCAGTTGAAAAGGTCGAACAATTAAGTACAAGGCAAAAAGCTGAACTTCTACTAGGATTGTTAATGCAATTCTCACAATTGCATACACTTCCTACTACTGCCAGTATGAGAGAATCATTCCATAGTGTACCATCATTTACAAGTGTACCAATCCTCCCTACCATAATGGTATAGTGCTACATCCCACAATACACATCTTGCTCTTTCTCTCTAAAATCTCTGTGTTCCTGTCCTTATTCTTCCTTTTAATCTCCTCTCCCTCTCTCCATTAACATTGCTACATAGTTAGTTTAGAGATGATATTTTGCTACACGCTTTAAAGAGTGTTGTAAATTTGTCCCACATTATTTCTATTAGCATTTTCCTTAGTTTTTTTATTAGCAGTTTTTATTTGCTTTTTTCTTAAATAATTTTTGCTGCTGTTTCTTTGTATTTTTACAATTATAATAAAATTTTTAAAAGTCACACATTTAAATAATTATAATTATGCAGCGGTGAATGTACATATGGTAATCAAATGAAACCTGTATAGACACTGAGAATATTCGCGGCTGCAATTATTCGCGGTCATAAAAAATTTTCAATTAAAAACCATGGAAACTGAGGTGTTATTTTAATTGAAAACGGCGCGATAGTGAAGAAAAGCACCTTGTTGCAGTGTTCTTGAG